AATGTAGTTGTTGACATGAAGTTTGCACCTCTAATATCTGTTGATGTTGAATGTTCATTTAGTCTCTATAAACAAATTTTAAGCGATAGAAGAACTAGCATGAGTACAGATAATATGTAAAATATATTATTGTCAATTCATATAATAAAATTTAAATAGTATTTCAAGTTTCTTTTTTATTCTTCAGAAAGTAAATATTTACCATTGTATGCATCAAAGAAATATTGTTTTTTTAATACATATATATAAACCTATATTGGTATTTTATATCTTGTATTAAATTATTATTATTTAAGGATTACCTTTTGTTTTCCAAATTTTTTTTGTTTTATTATATTTTAATATATATATGATTATTTGTTATTTTTAATATTGTGACAATAGTGTTAATACAACACTTAATTAAAATATGCCAAAGGAACATTGTTTTTAAATTTTTATACTGTAGATCAGGGATCGCCAATCAGTCAATCGTTGTAAAATTTAATTTTACCACTATTGGTCGATCGCGTAAAATAATCAGATTAATTGGATAACGGGAATATTAGATTTAAAGATTAAAGACCTAAATTTTCCTGAATGTCAATCACTAGGGACTTAAATTTCAAATGTAGCTCACTTGTTTGAAAACATTGGCGACCCCTGCTATAGACTATACTGTAATATTTTTACTATATTCCTACTCTTACTGATGTACAATAGTATTCTATTATAATACGCAACTATGTATATTCCTCATGATTAAAGGAATGTTGTAAAAAAAAAATTTTAAAATGCATATGAAATCATATATTGATGGTTTTTGATTATTTTTGAATATTTCGAATAATTTCGAATATTTTTACATATTTTTAAGATTTTTAAGAAAATATAATAAGATTATTTGAAGGTTTTTTAGAGAATATTAGCATCATATTTAAGGTATTTTGAGAGAATATAAATCCGGTCTTTACTAATAACTATATAATTTTTTTCAATTTAGAAAGAACCCATCATAAAAATGTCATTTACTTATTTTATTTTAATTCTTGAAAGTATATATTTGTAAGTATATAGAAAAATAAACTTGTGAGATAATAGATATATTTTATATTCATTTTTTCATCTAGTGTATGTTAAGAAAACTTTTGTCCAAAAGATATTCAATCAAATTCATGATTAAAATATAATAATAAAAAAAAAAACGACCTGGGTAAAGCAAAAGAAAACTACAGTACACAATTTAATCACTGACAAACAACAGCTGACAAGTGACGACTAACATAAATTAATTTGGTTAAATGAAATAATTCATTAATCGGGAAAATATTAATGATAAAAATAGAAAAAAATGGTGGAGTTTATAAATTTATTAAAGCCAATGTGGTGGTGCTTTCACCGTGTGTGTGTTAATCGTGCGCAACCACCTGAAGAGTATGCAGTAAGAACTGTAGGATGGTCGCTTATAATTGTTGATTCTCCCACTCGACAACCAAACGTATTTTACATGGACAGACGGTGTTCAGACTGAACTACACACCAAATGATGTGTATTTGTTACATAATTCGATTACATTTTCGGAGTATAATAATAATTGTCATGTTTTTGTTTTCTTAGGTTTAATTTTTTTTTATATAATAAATACAGTTAAATGGATATTTGGTTAAAACTAATTAATTATTATACACTTTTATTATAATTATTATTATTATTTTATATTTTCACCTTTATATCTATATTAATCCATGTGGTGTGCACACATCTAGGCACTAGTCGCCACCGGCTATGGCGTAAGCAATGCTTTCGTCCATTTTCGTTGTGCTTGGTCTTATGCTTCTCTGTAAGTCATTAAATTACTTCTTGTCAAATAAAACCAAACTATGCTGCCGGAATACTGTAGGACGGGATATAACTGATTCACCATAATTTAATTCAATATTTAGAATGTTTCTGTAGCACTTTACCCTAACATAAAACAAAATTTCATCGCAATTCGTTATTCGAGATTTTTTTTATCTTTAAATTATAATCGTGGTAATGAACTAACACTGACGCTAATTACGATTTTAAACTGAAAAACATAATACAAATTATTACTAAAGCTCGCGTCATAGTAGTTACTTATTAGAATTTCATAAAAATAATAGTATTAATTTTAGAATGTTTGTCTCAAAACTTATGGGATGCACTGTGTACAAGTTTTCATCAATCATATTTCTGTTAAATATTTACATAGTTAAATTTTTTCTAAACAATTCTTTTAAAATTCTGATATATCAATACTGCATATCTACTAAACTGGTATGTTTTATTATTAAATATATTCTAAATATTTATAAGATGTCATAAATGAAAATATAACGGCTGATTTGTTTAAATAAATAAAAAATGTTATAAATTCTATTTTAAACAGAAATGTTATTATTGTACTTATTTTTTATTTTTTTGTATGTCGAGATTCAAATCTTGGTTTATACATGTCATCTCAAAGAATCAAAGACCTTGCTTTTCTCCATCAATGTTTAAAATATTCATCGTTTTTATGTATAATTACTATTATAAACAAGTTTAACAAATTAAATTTGTATTTTTTTTTAAATTTTTTTTTACTTATTTCTAAAATAATTTAATGGCTGGATGTTCTGTTTGATTGATATTCACTTACCACTTGATGGTCAACAGTCCAAATTGATTTTGATAAAATATTTGTTCCTCGGATGAAAGTTTTTTTTTTAAATTTTTCTAAATCTTAAAAACAGGACACGTGCTAATATGCATAAAACAAGCTTAAAGTAACGAAAAAAATATTGTTTTTGCATAGAATTATACTTTAAGTTAAAATATTCTTTTAAGTTTGATTGAAATATTTTAACGTAAAGTATAAAGTATAAAGTTTGATTGGACTTTATGTAATGTATATAATACTACTCTACATACTCATATTTATATAATGTTTGTTCAATGGCTTCTGTTGAATATGTAAAGTATTTATATTCAATTAATATAACATATGTTGATATATTAATCCCTGTACAGCTACGTAGCTCTTAATTTTAGTGTTTTGATCAATTACAATCCGACAAGTTAAACGTCGACTTTTTTATATTAATCATAATAAACAATAAAAACCCATAAATAATTATAAATGGAATTAATAATTAATTGTAATCTTCTAAATAGTTTTATTTGATTGTCTTTAAAAATACTATTTGTTCTCAAAATATTATATTCATTTTTATTCAATACATATAAATAAAATATCTATTTGTTTATTTACGTGTATTATAATTATCCTTGTTTGTTTATTTCTCAAAAAAATTAACGCCGGTAGTAATTCGATGAATTGCTAAAACCACCACAGTATTCTCGTGTGTATTAGGAACAACAATTATCGGTTAGTTATAAGAGCATATTATGAAAAGCGCAAGTTTCTTTTTTTCGACCTGTACTCAGTGGAACTAGGGGCTCATTCCCAGTACAATGATATATTATTATGACCGGATAATATGGTCGTGATGAGGCTGAAAGAAGGAAACAAGTCACATAAATTATAATAATGTTATATAAAAGCGTACTAGAAGAGATGTGGAAATGTATTTTTTTGTCCATTAACAATTTTTGCTTAAAACTGTTACAAAGTGGTAAAGTTTAGTACTCTTTAAGATTATAATATGATTAATTTTACGAAAATAAAGTTTAAATAAGTGGTGAAAAAAATGTCATTAATTATTATTTTGATATATTTTATAATGTATTCAAGATTTTATTTTTAGTTCCTACAATTTGATTTCAAAGTTAAACGGGGTTATACGTGACTACTTCAATTAAGTTGACATTTTTTTTTTTTTTTTTTTTTTAATAATAAATAAATAAATAAATAACTTTTATTTATAACCATTAGCATTTATATTATTACATTTAAAATTTATTTTATCTCTTAAATTACTCAAATGTATTTGTGAAAATAATATCTTTTAAAATAAAATCTTAATCATAAAATCAGGTTATAAATCTAAAATGGTAAAAAAAAAAAAAAAACAGTTATAAAAGTATACATTTCTTGGTCATATACTCGTACCTTATATTAAATACGTAATTCAACATCTTATTGAATACAATTCAATAGATCGTCACATTTATTGTTTGATTTGCTTACTAAGATAAAACAAGGATAAATCATTATTACAACTTATCGCTACATGCATATCTATAAGTTAAATGTGTTATTTAATATATCGTGTATTTTACAAGTACTTTAAATAAAATATGTATTACAAAAATATCAACTTGAAACTAAAGTAAATATCATTGATTTTATTCCAAGACGACGAGACTGTAAACATATCATTTATGTATAACTTCCTGATGAGACTATGAATAAAACCAGTAGTATTTAAAATTCCAATCTGATCTTTAAAATACAAATCAAAATGTCCGTTGTTCATTTACTGGATGGAATAATTAGTTGGTAGTTGTAAACAATGTCCTAATGCTCGCATTCCATTTTATATAAGTATATATATATTTTTGAAGTCTTTCCTTCTACACGGAAAAAAAACTTTCCTGGGATCTGAATTAACTTTTTCAATTTTTCAAACCTTTGAAATAGTTCATTACATAAATATTGTATAATTTTATGCATCATGTCAATTACTGATTGTTCTTCTATTTCATCGTTAAAGATCAATTAAATAATATATTTATACGTACATATTTTTTTAGATAAGATTTTCTTGTAACTATGTATATTATTTGCCATCTTGACATTTTCTTTAGTTTTTATTGTTCGTTGGCTTTGTCCCAGTATAATAGGGTCAACACAATTCTTTATTGTCTTTCTGGAAGTTGAATCATTTCCCGTAGATTTTAGAACCTTTTATTTATACTTTATTAATACTTAGAATAATAGTTGAATAAACTTCCCTTTGAAAATTTCGTTTATTATATTAGCTTGGTGTTATTTTTTACTCCTACGTTTTAATAATATTATATCATTAATTTTTAATATTTATTTTTCTAGGAAAAATGTGCAAGATATCAAAACGAGTCAATACAATAAGATGACAAGAACGTCCCATTAGTAACTATCATGGAAACAGGGTACAAAACACTGTGTTTTAAGCCTCTGATATTAGTTCTATTATTTCTGGTATCAAGCTGTTTCTCCACATTTAAAAATGGAAGTCTGGCTGAATTGCATTTCACCCGAGAACTCTATAATGCGACGATTCCAGAAAACGCGCTTATTAAAACATATGTCCGAACGGAAGAAAAAATGGGTATTTATTGTTCAGATGACGACCTTTCTATACGTTATAAGATAGCATCCCAACAAAAAATAAAATTTTTTAAAGCCGAAGAAAAAAAAGTTGGAAACTTTTGGTTCCTTTTAGTTCGAACAAAGACTGATTACGATGTTCTAAATAGAGAACGACAAGACGAGTATGTCTTGGAAATCAAAGCAACTGTCACAACTTTGACTGACAAAATAAAGGATAAAAAAAGGAATGGTGTTTCAGTAGAACTTCATACTACTGTCGTTGTATCAGTTCTTGACACCAATGACTTAAGTCCCTTATTCTATCCCACTGTGTATGAAAAAACTATACCCGAAGATACGCCTCTTCATTCAAGTGTATTAAAAGTATCAGCAGAAGATGCAGATATAGGAATGAATGGCGAAATATACTATAGTTTTAGAGAAAAGACCAATCAATTCGCTATGCATCCAAGAACTGGAGTTATAACAATAACTAGGTTATTAAAATTTGAAGAACGAAAATCATACGACTTCGTTGTTGAAGCTCGGGATCGTGGTATTAGAGGACGCTCCAAACCAAACACGGCAAAAGTAAAATTTAATATACAACAAGTTAATATATACAGTCCTGATATAGATATCCAAAATTTACCTCATGTTGTTGAAGAGTCGAACTGTGATATATATGCAATTATCAAAGTTACAGATAGAGATACTGGTGTAAATGGTGTTATACAAAGTTTAGAAATTGTTGATGGGGATCCTGATGGTCATTTCAGAATCAAAGAAACAGGACATATTGGTGAATATAATATTGTAGTTCTGAATATGTTGGATAGGGAAACTGCTCCGAAGGGTTATAATTTAACACTCAGGGCAGTTGATTCTGGAACGCCCGAGAGAGATACTTATAAATCGATTCATATAAAACTGGCCGATGTTAATGATAACGCCCCAGTATTTGAGCGTGAACTGTACGAAGTAAATATTGCCGAAACTGCCCCAATTAATTCACCCGTTATAAAACTAAAAGTAAGTGACAAGGATGAAGGCAAAAATGCACAAGTGTCTTTGGAAATTGTGGGTGGTAATAAAGGTGGTGAATTTAGAATAAACAAACGGACCGGTATGCTTTATACTGCTGTGGTGTTAGATGCTGAACTCGGATCATCTTATACTTTAACGGTCAGTGCTATAGATCAAGGAAACGCTGGAAGTAGAAAACAATCTGCTGCTAAAGTCAAAATATTCGTCGTTGACGCTAACGATAATGATCCACTTTTTGATAAATATTTCATGGAAGTATCTATTAACGAAAACGAACCTGCAGGCACATCCGTTGTAAAAATAGGTGCGCGGGATAAAGACTCTGGAGAAAATGGTTATATATCCTATAGTATTGCCAATTTGAAACCAGTGCCTTTTGATATTGATCATTTCACTGGTCTTATCAAAACCACACATCTTTTGGACTTTGAAACTATGAGGCGGGAATATGTACTTCATATTAGAGCATCGGATTGGGGATACCCATATAGAAGACAAACAGAAATGAAATTAGTAATTAAATTAAAGGATGTAAATGACAACAGACCGCAGTTTGAAAAAATAGACTGTAAAATTCAAGTTCCTAGATTTACTGCCATTGGTAAAGAAATTATGACAATGTCTGCTGTCGATTTCGATGATGGTAATTTCATTAGCTATCGAGTTGAATCAGGTAATGAAGATAACTGTTTTTCCATTGACTCTTCGTCTGGTGTACTTTCAGTAACTTGTGATTTATCAGATGTACGTACCGAAGAACGTTCTGTGAAAATCACTGCTACTGATGGTTCTCATTATTCAGATTTAACAAGTTTACTTATATCATTAGTAAATGCTAAAAAAACACAGGCTGCAGATGATTCAATTAATATAGATTGTCGAGAAACAGGTGTACTTCGACGTTTGAATGATGCCATTGAAACAGCGAAAAAGAACAATATTGACGAAGATGACGATTTTGCTATGATGCCCAGTCGGTATGGAGAAAATGTATATAAACCTGAATTGGTAAATTTTCCTAGTGCTGTTCAAGTTAACGAATCCGTTCCATTGGGTTATACAATATTAGCCATTCGGGCCCGAGATAGAGATTTAGGATATAACGGTAAATTGATTTATGGCGTTTCTGACGGGGATGACGATTCTTTGTTTAGAATTGACCCAGAAACTGGTGATTTGAATGTAGTTGGATATTTAGATCGTGAAGCAAGGGATGAATACATATTAAATATTACTGTTTCTGATCTCGGAAAACCACAACATACTACATGGAAAATGTTGAAAGTAGTGATTTTAGATGTCAATGACAATGCTCCTAAAGTCGATAAAAGAGTTTCTAGCTTTCGGGTTAGTGAAAATGCTCGAAATGGGACTGTAATATTTCAAATAAATGCACAAGATTCAGATCAAGGAGAAAATGGTAGAATAGTGTATACATTAACCACCGATACCACTCATTTTTCAGTTGACCAAACTTCGGGCAATCTTTTTGTGTCTGGTCGCCTGGATCGTGAACGACAAGAACTATATGAACTAAAAGTGACAGTTTCAGATTGTGCCCCAGAACCATGGACTTTACACACTGAGGCATTAATTCGTATTATTGTTGACGACGTGAATGATAATGCACCAGAATTTCTTGTACAAAATTACACTGTCAAAGCTCTAGAAGATTTACCGATTGGTAGCGTTGTCACGATCGTTACTGCAGTGGATCCTGATCTTGGTACTGGTGGTATAGTCACTTATTCATTAGAATCAGAATCTTCGTCTGAAGTAGATGAACAAACGTTTGAAATCGATGCTATATCTGGAACTGTTCGGACTCTGAATGAGTTAGACTTTGAACTGAGGCAGATACATACAATTATCGTTAGAGCAGTTGACGGTGGTATGCCTTACTTATCTTCGGAAACTTGGTTAACAATAGAAGTTGTAGATGTTAACGAAAATATGTTTGCTCCCGAGTTTGGCAGTTTTTATGCCACAGCATTCATTGATGAAAACGAACCACCCGGAACCCTAGTAACTACAGTAAGTGCAACTGATGCCGATCCACCTGGTGACGTATCAAGGGTTGGTTATTCTATTGTCGATGGTGATGGACTTGGCTACTTTTCAATTGACAGTGCAGGTATTTATATATTTATATTTAATTTTAATTAATTTTTATTAGATCCGTAATATATAATAATAATAAAGTAATTAAACTGTAATTAAAAAACAAATGATGGAAAATAAAGCGTATTAACCATTCAGTTATTTGGTATTAAGTTATTAGTTTATTTTACATTACGTTAAAATGTAGCAGGATCGAAAGTTGTATTTGTTTTTTTATGTATGATTGTTATTAAACTAAACTAAGTAACTAAATCTCTAATCTGAACTAAAATTAAGTATAAAATAATACGTGTAATGAATAAATAATGCATTTACTGATAATCTGTATAATTGTAACTACATTTTAACCGTGTTCAATATTTTATCTGGTCCAATAATTTAGATTTAGCTTCAACTAAAGATCCTATTTAAGTAACTAGTTTTATACTAATGAATATTTAATACCTACTCTTTTACCTTTTAATTAATTCTTCGTTATTTGTATCTTTTATTTTTTATTTTCAATACTCATCAACATGTTTAGAATTACTAATATGCTATTGTTACTTTTTTTGTAGGCACTGAAAATAAAAATCATATAATATATATAGATAATCAAAACATACATTTTTTATCGATTCATGTGTAAGACTCTTGCCGTATGAATAAATAAAATTTTAAACTTTGTTGGTGATAACATTATTGATACAAGTGTACGGTTAGCCACTGTGAACGTACCATAGGCGTGCGCACGGGGTGAGCCCCGGCTTGACCGAAATTTTTTTGGGGACATAGTAAAATATCTATATACATTTTAATATGTTCGTGGAAATCAATTAATTATATTTATATTATTTGATTTTAAAGAATTTAAAGTTTTACTTATAACTTAAAAAATATATATCTAAAAATTAGCAATATAATACTTAATTCTATGTATAAATACTACATTGTTTTTAATTTACAACAGAATCTATTATGTTGAAATGTTAGAAAAAAATTAGGAGCACTGTCGAAGTATTGGGACACTAATTGTATTCAGGCTCAACCGAAAGTTTAAGTTTGCGTACACCTATGGAACGTACCTGTATGTTACGCTACACTACGGTGAAACTTAGTTTTCGAAACTATACTCGTACTTGTTGAGATTGGTTTTAGCGGTATTCATAATTCATAAGCGTAATAAAAAGCTGCTATTAAATATTTATTTGGATTTTTTTTTTTAAATTAACATAATTGAGTAACTAATTAATAGATTTTTATGTACTCCATTAAGGCGACAATCATTTCATTTAATATCTTCTTTTTTCGCCATGTATCCCAAATGTTTCGATTTCCGTTAAAATAATGCATTTTTCAAAACATAAAATTAGTTAAGTAATTAATCTAATTTAGAGAAAGTAAGTAAAATGGCCGGGGAATGGATTATAAAAATGATTTAATATTAAGAAAATAATTTTAAAATTCATTATCAGATTTTAACCGTGTATGCTTATTTGATAGTAATCATTAGAGTAATTAAATTGTATACGAATATAATATATGTATTTATATATATTTGTATATTATACAAAATTGTGTTTGTAATTAATTTTCACTCATTACTGGTTTTAATGGGTTTAATTTGGTCATAGTAATACAGAACGACTGATAAATCTAATCCTTTAACTGGTATAAATTACTCAAAAGATTTATATCGAATCTTCAAATCGATGTTGGTAAACTCTATTTAGAATCTCATCAAGAAGTTCATATGACTGCCATATACATACGTGTCTTCTATTTCATTAATCTTATCAATGGCTTATTTACCCCATCATTATGATCCAATCTATTTATTTGTGTTCTCTTTATGGTCTCATTAATATTTCGAATCTAAATCTCTACATACGAAAGGAAATAAATTTTATAAAGTATCACATTAGATTTACTAGTTTTCCATCCATACAAGTTTTTAAGTTATTTAAAAATAATTACGTTTATTTTGGTAATAAATAACCTACAACTTATTACTTCCAATGTCTATGTATTAAGTTAATTTACGAAATCATACTCTCAATGCCACTAAAAACGACAATCACGTCGTCAATGATATGTTTTGAAAAAATAAATAATGGTCTAAAAGCTAAACCTATAAGAAATGAAACTAGTTGTATTAAAGTTTTTTGTAGCCCATCGTCTTCTTATTTAACCTAACCAATAGCTTTTTTCATTAGCTAACATTAATACTTTATCAGGCCCCATAGGACACATATTTCATTTTCTAAAGATATCACTAAAAGTTTTCATTTTTCATTTCTATATGTCTTTACCAAATTGTTATTAACCAATGAAAATAAAAGAAAAAAGCCACTGTGCCATTCTTTTAGTGCTGTACATTTACATTTTCGTTAGTGAGGAATTGGTCCTCAATAATTCACCTGCATTCATGGCATGCTCAAAACTTTTTTAAGAAACTCGTGTTTATGTATAATTCAGGTTATAAAGATAGTATAAATTCAAATTAAAGGTATGTAGTAGCATATTTGTATTTGTTTTCATAGTCTTGTATACAGAGATGTATTTAGAGTTTTGACGCTCAGGTACAGTTTTATTGCCACCATTAAACGTATACGTATACGATTTTCAAGAAAGGTATTTATTATCTACGAATTTTACGCGATCAACTTTTGATAATATTATCATGAAAATAAAAATCGCCATGTGGTCACTGCGCAAAATCTTAAAACATTAAAATTGTTTGATTGATGAATGAAAATAGATGATGGTTACAAAAAAATGCTGCCACCCTTTAATTCTAAAAAAAATATGCCGCCCTGGGCGATAGTACCCACTTCTACCCCTGAATACGTCCCTGCTTGTATATTTATTTTTTATTGTACACTACATAAGATTTAAAAAATAAAAAAATAATTGTACTCAAACACTCTTTAAGTAGTTTAATATTTGAAAGTTTAATTTAATTTTACTACATATTATAATATTCAATATGAACTAGTAGTTACTATTAATTATATTTGATTACTTGAATTATATCTAATTAATGTACAATATTAAACAAATTATACTAAATATTGGCCTCAAATAAATCATTAAAATTATATTAGTAAATATAAATACAAATTACTTCAATTTAATAATTATTTATTTATGTTATTTATAAATTATCTACCAAAACCAATGTATGTAAATATACCTATATTAATTTTATTGCTTACAGTTTTTTACATTTCCTTAAACACTTTAACAAAAATAAAAGAATTAACAGTAATTATTGAATAGTTTTTTTGTTGACCTGACCCCAGTTAGTAATTAAGTCTAAATGAGAAAAGGATCACAAAGAACCACACATCTGCTCTAATTCACCACACACAACCTACAGTTGGCGCCTTTCCCCAAAAGAAAAGGGAGAAAAAACTGTTATCTCCTCCTTTTTTTTCTCGCATTTCTTTTGTGTCATACAAATGATTCAGACGGCGTATTTTACCTTCCGAAAAGTAATGGTTTGGCATTTTTCCATCTTTCATGTTCTTTCTACACTTGATTGCTTATCAACCTAATGCCTCTTAACTCTGCCACCCCGCATTCGAATGATATTTTCATTCCCATTCCTTTCCTGACACCTTTTATAGGAAAGATCGTATTTTTGAAGATTTAAATGTAATCGTGTGGAATAGGGTTTTACCTTAACCTAACAAATAAGATCGCCAAAAATGAGAATTGATAGCAATTACTTGTAGGATATAACTACTGACGACTGCTTGCAATAAATGATACATATATATTTAAAAATTTCAAAAACTAAAAACTTGATGACTTTCAATTTTCTATCAAATTTATATCGTGGTTTGAAAAGTATTTGAGTAATTCTCAAAACTGAAAATAATTCATAAAATCATGTTAAAATAAAAAACCATAGAATTTTGATCAAAACCTTAAACCTAATGGAAACTGAGACTGTTAAACTCTATAAAATGATAATAAAAGTAACAAAAAAATCAAGCCAACATCAAAATAAATATTCCATTACATTTATTTTTAAATATGTATTACAAAATATAAAATATCCTAAATAAATACTGCTTATCATAATTTCCATGTAATTTATAATTAAAGTTTTCTATAAAATAATTTTAGTAATTTCTTACTATGTAAATAATCATACCTTAACTTAATTGATTTTACTAATATAGTGGTCTAAATGGGCTGTATTATTATTTTCACTAAATTCAAACAAAATTATTTATCTGAATTTATATGTAAGTATTTACATGCATACCTACTTAAAATGTAAAAAAAAAAAATTGAATTTGTTTAAATTATACAAACTGGCTATTAAAAAAAAACTAATAATAATTGTATTTAAATACAATACTTAATACTCTTAACACAAATATTATTTTTATTATTTTAATTATTTTCCTACGATCTATTAATATCTATTAATCTAGTATATCTATCAATATACTATCTCAATTGCATATAAATAATTAGAGGGATTGTTTTACTTTTTATCTATATTCAGGTAGGTACTCGATTATTTTAGAAGCTAATTTTTTTTTTTACGTAATTTTTTTTTCAATATATTTCTATTATTCAATTATTATTTTTTTAATTCAATCGGTTACCTTGATTACTTAAATTATTATTTTATTTGTATATATTTAAATACTCTGTTATTTTTATTTATCATGAAATATCAACTTATGCGTTTCATTTAGAATAATTATTGTAGAAATCCTTGTACCATTTGTTGCTCTCTTTAAAAAGCTTAATATGAAAAATAATCGTCAAGGTCTTTGTTTTTTTAAACACTTTTTCGCGAAAAAAAGATCCTATTAGCGATATTCTTCCCATTGAATTGTTTACCGGTCGACAGGTGAGAGCACCTTTTTCCAATGATTAATGGGCTCTATTTTTCCGAGTGTCATTTAAATTTTGCCCAAAAGTGCCCTTCAAAAAAAAAAAAAATCCAGTACAATATCCTGTTTTGTGTTCTACCTCGCATCCCTTTTTCTTTTTTTGGTTTCAAAT